GTCTTAGATGTCTATGGGCTCCAGTAACCACCTAACTCCAGGTGGGCTGTGAGCTCGTCCACCCATCTAAGCAATAAAAAAAATAAAAAAGCCACTTAACACCAAGTGACCGTCTACCATTCTACGGAAAAAACTTTTTTCCCTGGTAACACTAATGGAACGAGCTAGAACGAGATGGAACTTTACAACAGCCAATAAAATGGCATCGAAGCTACCCGAAACGGTGAAGAAAGAGACGGAAACATCATTGTTTACATCAACAGCTGACTTGAGCTAACGGATCGAAGAATGGAACAAGACACTAGAAAATTCCACCGTGATTTCAATGTTCCCAAAATAATGTCATCTTTTCGGAATCAATACAACAACAGCTGTACTTATTACCATTATTACAATACGACGTGTGTGGTGCTTATTATATCATTTATTTTTGTGAGTGAAATGGTACAGCTTACATACGCTTTTGCTAATTTCGAAGTTTAAAATCGTAGGCTATAAATTTCTAGAAGGTCATCGACGTAAAGTAGCACTATAATAACTCTAGTTTGCGTAAAATTATTACAGAATAAACTGGTTGATCTTAGTGAATGTATTTATTGGTGAATCAATGACAATTATGCATGTACTTTTTAAAACTTTTCATGAAATATCTAATTTCGAATGACAATATTTTCTCAAATTACTCACACGCAGGAAAAAAATGTATGTAGGTATTTTAAACATGATTCTAGGTCATATACACAATTAAAATGAATTCCAACATCGTGGCCTAAAAGCCAAGATGTCCGGTGCATTGTTATGTAGCGTTGCAACGGTGTTCGAATCCCGCAGGCGGGTACCAATTTTTCTAATGAAATACGTACTCAATAAATGTTCACGATTGACTTCCACGGTGAAGGAATAACAGCGTGTAATAAAAATCAAACCCGCAAAATGATAATTTGAGTAATTACTGGTGGTAGGACCTCTTGTGAGTCCGCACGGGTAGGTACCACAGCCCTGCCTATTTCTGCCGTGAAGCAGTAATGCGTTTCGGTTTGAAGGGTGGGGTAACCGTTGTAACTATACTGAGACCTTAGAACTTATATCTCAAGAAGGTGAGTGGCGGCATTTACGTTTGCAGATGTCTATGGGCTCTAGTGACCACTTAACACCAGGTGGGCTGTGAGGAGCTCGGCCACGCACCTAAGCAATCAAAAAAAAATAAAAAAAGCCTATCAATAAGCGATCTTGTATATAGAAAGAAATGATTGCGTTCAGGTTATATAGCGGAATTCAATCAGAAGATGACGTACGTACTAGACATGCCCAAAGGGTTAAAATGCTCATGATGTATCCTTATATTTAAACGTGACTGACTTTTACCTGGTAGCAGGACATATTTTAAGATCCACTTACGGGTGGATACTACCATCCTGCCTATATTTACTGCGAAGCAATCATGCGTTTCTGTTTGAAATGTGGAGCAGACTTTATACAATTGAAAATTCGACTTCATATCCCAAGGATGGCGGCATTATTTTTGTGATGTTCGTGGGCCCTGATAACCACCTCAGATATGACCACTTAAAATTGGGTGGGCTGTACGCCCCTTCCAACACTAGATGACGATCACGACCACTCTGTCAAGAGTGACACGACTGAGAAGAAGAAGAAGACGCGCGTTCACCCATCTACGTAATAAAAATTACATAATATTGACATAGGATAACTTGAGATATTAGCTCGCGTTAATATAATATTTAAGAACGGAATAAGAGAAGGAGTACTTGTACGGAATGAAATAACGTCATTTTTATTTGGTTTAAAAAAAAAGAAAAACATAATAAGCGTTGTTATTGTAAATATACGTACAATCTAATTTAAAATCGGACTTTCGAGAGCCCTATTGTATTATTACTTTAAAGTTCCATGGCAATGTTCCATGTAATTCAAAAAAACTAGCTCAGGAGATTTAGAAAAAAGTTGATTTTAAATAAAAAATTAATCTCGTCAGATATACAATTATACATGCAGAAAGCATTTTTCCTATATTGTACCAATAACCTTATTGACCGAAGATTTTTCTAGAATAGTCATCTAGTTATCGGACGTATAGTAATGTTTCTGGAGTCGTTTAAAATTGCTTGAGTATGCCATCTAGCGTGGAGTAGATTACGTGGAGTATCTCACAGTTATGTCGATAGATGGCAGTGTATTAAAAATATAAAATATTCAAAATTACCTAGGTACACAGTTGTACAATCCACAAAACTGCTACTACTTAATGTGAACCTAGAAAATATTATTTTATGGTATAGTTTACCTACGCGTTTAAACGAATGTAAGATTGTCTAGACTCTAGAAGGTCTGGGTAACCAGAAACGAAACAGTATATTGAAAATATGTTCAATGAAATGACAAGAACGAATGCATTTTGTAAAGCTCTTGTTGTGTGAACGAGTGATAGGTCGTGCGATCTGGATGTATCAAGTCTTATATGTATTGGCTAAGGAGTATTTTAACCATCTTTTTTTTTTGAATACCCAAACTTTCACTTGAAGCGAGGGCTCACGCTTTCGGACGGAAGGTCAGAATAATTGTTTTGCAGTCCTCTTAAGTCTTTAAATTACAGTTACTGTGGTGGTAAGTCAGGTTCCCAACATATTCGCGTATATTTGTGTTCATTAATTATGTTAACATTTTATGGAAACATAATGTGTTTCTATAATTGGCTCATGTTTGGGAAAACATCCCCTGTACCCTGTGTCTAGTTAAATGCTGTTGAAACATTTTTGATTAAATAAATAAATAAAAATAAATAAATAAATCTCAAAATTTTAAGGGCTTATATTACAATAATCAAATTAGGTAGGTACGTGATCCACCTTGACCAATGTACATAGATGCTAACTAGAAATTGCAGATTTTGTATAGGTTGAAGCAGATGTGGCGTTCAAGAACGCACCTTTTTATGATGCGTCAGCCGGAACGCACGAGATGTGGAAAAAAGAATATAGTCTGTAACACGGGACCTTTTTACCGCCAAAATATGAAAAACATAAAAATAATTTATAATGTGTTAAATAACTAATTTAATGTAATTACTTTATGCCGCTACAACAATAAAATTGATATTGTTTCAACTGTGGTGTTAATTACATAAAACACGACCAGGCGAAATAAAGAAGGGACTCTATATGAACCCCCTTACAGACTATGATTTAAATTGCATAGCTTGTTTTTGCATTACAGAGGAATTCTCGAATATCTTTGAATAATTACAATAATATTCGTTTCGAATTATACGCCTTACATAAATTTTAAAACAAAATTTTTAAGGTACTTATAAGTAAAAACTAACGTCAGGCGCAAGCACGTCGAATAATGTAATCACCTAGATTAATTAATTGTTTGGTGTAAAGGTGACGGTATCATAATTTTCTTTTTTACCATAAATTCCACTAATCGCACAAACACAATTTACCGCTACTACTTAGAAGCAGTGCATTTCAAGAGCTCGTTTGAGACACGTTCCCGATCCTGCGGATAGAATGGAAAGCAGTCGACGTCGCCCCAAACACATCATTTCGGATCTTCCCGATCCACTAACGGTGCTTTTAGGTACCTCAAGCACCGATCATCGTTCTTGTCGAACCCGTCGCTTGCGACGAAGGGCTCGACGAGTAAATTAACCCTCAGACACAACCCACCGAGTTTCTCGCCGGATCTGCTCAGTGGGTCGCGTTTCCGATCCGGTGGTAGATTCTGCGAAGCACGGCTCTTGCTAGGGTTCGTGTTAGCACCGTCGTCTCACCTACTAGTTAAGGTTACGTTGAAATAGCCTCTCAAGGCTCTCAGCTAGGTAGGAAAAAAAATAAGACAGCCCACGAGTGTCGCGCCAGATCTTCTTCATGGGTCGCGATTCCTCGCGATGTTGGATTCTGCGGAGCACTGCTCTTACTAGGACTAGTGTTAGCAAATACTTAGGTTGAGCCCGTAAGATCACGTAGGTACTCGTTCGCGCGAAGTTGGAATAACCCCTTAGGCTACCTAGTAAGTAATCTTAGTAAGCAGAAGGGCATGGTCACGACGAAATATCAATACATATTGCCTTCCGTAAAGGAGTATGTTGGTCAGCTCCGTCAACAATTACCATCACATGAGCCATATGACATCACATGGCTGATATCATATTAAATGTAATGGGGCATGTTTTGAATGTAAGTGTAACTTTTTATGAATAAATATATTACATACATACATACATACATGTAGGTATGTCAATTTACCTATACCTACTTAGATATTTATTAGAATCAGATCGGATAGGGCAGATTGTGGATGTAACGTATATAATTTTTTAACACGAGTTTTTTAACAATAACTAACTGACCCAGCGAACTTTGTTCCGCCTTAGAGGCAATATACCTATGGGCAGACTTGATTTTATCAAGGTCAAAAAACAAGTATTTTAATGGTTCTTTATTGGCCATGTATTTTAGTGCATGGGGTCGTCCACTCTTTAGTGAAGCACCTTGTGATAGACGAAATTTTTCGTTTTATTATCAGGTGCCAGAACAAATAACGCAGACAGTCTTCCAACCCGTTAACATGCCACATATAATTGACCATAGGAAAAACATGTATTTTCTAGATTCAGACCACAAACTTTTAAGAATTGACCTTGTGATTTGTTTATGGTAATGGTGAAGGCAAGACGGATAAAGTATCCTATGTCATTCTCCTGGTTCTAAGCTACCTCCCCACCAATTTTCAGCCAAATCAGTTCTTGTGTTATAAATAGTGAAACTAATAACTTTCTTTTATATATATAGATTGCAAGGTACCTACATAGTACCTATGCAGTTGCATTTTATTTTAATTAAATAGAGATTTATTCAAACTATGTGTGTAGCAAGCCATTTGTTTGGCATGCGTCACATTAATTTTGGAAACTTCCGGAAAAATAAATGTAGTATGGCATTTGTACCTGCAAGGGTTCTTAAAAATTAAACTGCTTTTCACATATTAAGTGGAGTTTTATTGATACATTCAGAGTTCACCTTTGGCTATTTACTAATGTGTAATACTGCACTAAGAACATTTTCAAAGGTTGCCTACATTACGAACAGTAACAAAACATTTAAAAAGATACAATATTGTAAGTATTCTGGCACAATTATGACGTTACTTTAAAAAAAAATCAACAGAAAATCATTTTGATTATTTATTAAAATAATGGAATTTTTGAACTAAATCAGTCTTTGGCTGTACACCGATGCACAAAAACAAACCATTATGACATGGTTCCTACAGTTAAAGTAGAGATCTTAATCAACCTCCTCCATGCGAGATGCATCATCGGCATCACCCTCCAATGGTGGCACGTCTCCAGAAGCAGGCTCTTCAACCTGAATCGGCTCATCTTCATCAATNTTTATTAAAATAATGGAATTTTTGAACTAAATCAGTCTTTGGCTGTACACCGATGCACAAAAACAAACCATTATGACATGGTTCCTACAGTTAAAGTAGAGATCTTAATCAACCTCCTCCATGCGAGATGCATCATCGGCATCACCCTCCAATGGTGGCACGTCTCCAGAAGCAGGCTCTTCAACCTGAATCGGCTCATCTTCATCAATACCAAGACCCAGTTTGATCATTCTATAGATACGGGAAGCATGGACTTGGGGCTCATCAAGCGTGAAGCCAGAAGACAGCAGGGCAGTTTCATACAATAAGATAACAAGATCCTTAACAGCTTTGTCATTCTTGTCGGCCTCCGCTTTCTGCCTTAATGTTTCCACAATTGAGTGATCAGGATTGATTTCCAAATGCTTCTTCGCAGCCATGTATCCCATTGTGGATGTGTCACGTAGAGCCTGAGCCTTCATGATTCGTTCCATGTTGGCAGACCATCCATATTGAGCAGTAACAATACAGCAAGGAGACTCCACAAGTCTGTTAGAGACAACAACTTTTTCAACTTTGTTGTCCAGGATGTTCTTCATCACCTTGCACAGCCCTTCAAACTTCACCTTATCTTCCTCACGTTTCTTCTTTTCTTCCTCATCTTCAGGAAGTTCTAATCCTTCCTTTGTGACCGATACAAGGGTCTTGCCATCATACTCCCTCATCTGTTGCACTACATATTCATCAATGGGCTCAGTCATGTAGACTACTTCATAGCCACGTTTCTTCACTCTCTCCACAAATGACGAGTTCGCCACCTGGTCTCTGTTTTCTCCAGTGATGTAGTAGATATGTTTCTGATTCTCCTTCATCCTGGATACATACTCTTTGAGAGAGCAGGCTTCGTCACCCGATGCTGAAGTGTGGTACCGCAGAAGCTCAGAGAGCTTAGCCCTGTTTTGAGAGTCTTCATGGATACCCAATTTTAAGTTCTTGCTGAATTGTTCATAATACTTCTTGTAGTTTTCTTTGTCCTCTGCCAATTCTTCAAATAGTTCTAGGCATTTTTTAACTAAATTCTTCCTAATTACTTTCAGAATTTTATTCTGCTGAAGCATCTCACGTGAAATGTTTAGAGGAAGGTCCTCACTGTCGACAACACCTCTAATGAAGTTAAGGTACTCTGGGATGAGATCCTCACAGTTGTCCATGATGAAAACTCTTCGTACATACAGCTTGATATTGTTCTTGCGCTTCTTGTTTTCAAACAAGTCAAAAGGTGCACGACGTGGCACAAAAAGTAGTGCTCGGAACTCTAACTGACCTTCAACGGAGAAGTGTTTGACTGCAAGATGGTCCTCCCAATCATTGGTAAGGGATTTGTAGAAGTCTCCATACTCATCTTGGGTAATGTCATCAGCGTTTCTGGTCCAGATAGGCTTTGTCTTGTTGAGTTCTTCATCCTCTGTGTATTTTTCTTTAATTGTTTTCTTCTTCTTCTTCGTATCTTTTTTGTCCTCGTCTTCATCCTCACCTACATCTTCAATCTTAGGCTTCTCATCTTCCTCTTCCTTCTTTTCTTCTTCGGCTTCATCATCAGACAGTTCTTTTTCTCGTTCTTTTTCAACCATCAGCTTGATTGGGTAGCCGATGAACTGGGAATGTTTCTTTACGATCTCTTTGATTTTGTGTTCTTCCATGAATTCTGCCAAGTCCTCTTTGACGTGAAGGACGATCTTTGTACCTCGACCAAGGGGCTCACCGCTGTCGGGGCGGACTGTGAACGAGCCTCCTGCAGAAGATTCCCACACGTATTGCTCGTCGTCATTGTGTTTAGAGTGAACAGTCACGCGGTCAGCGACCAAGTAACTGGAGTAGAAGCCAACACCGAACTGTCCAATCATGCTGATGTCGGCACCTGCTTGAAGAGCCTCCATGAAAGCTTTAGTACCAGATTTCGCGATGGTTCCCAAATTGTTCACCAAATCGGCCTTGGTCATACCAATACCGGTATCGATGATCGTAAGAGTGCCCTCGTTCTTGTTGGGAATGATCTTGATGTACAGCTCTTTGCCACTATCGAGTTTTGACGGATCCGTGAGAGATTCATACCTGATTTTGTCTAAAGCGTCCGATGAATTGGAAATCAGCTCACGAAGGAAAATTTCTTTGTTGGAGTAAAAGGTGTTGATGATCAGGGACATAAGCTGAGCGATCTCAGCCTGGAACGCGAAGGTTTCAACCTCCGCTGGCTGTGTCTCCATTTCTTCCGGCATTTTCTTTACTGCTTTTTGTTTAATTCACACAAAATGACTAGAGGGTTTTTAACACACGTGTTTCAAAGCGCAAAGTATCGCACGTTAGTCTCCGTACTTCTCTTAGTTCAAATAACGCCGGGCGCGGTGTNGGGACATAAGCTGAGCGATCTCAGCCTGGAACGCGAAGGTTTCAACCTCCGCTGGCTGTGTCTCCATTTCTTCCGGCATTTTCTTTACTGCTTTTTGTTTAATTCACACAAAATGACTAGAGGGTTTTTAACACACGTGTTTCAAAGCGCAAAGTATCGCACGTTAGTCTCCGTACTTCTCTTAGTTCAAATAACGCCGGGCGCGGTGTAAATTCGTTTTTATACTTTCCTCTAACAAGCGACATCTATGAATCAGTAGAAGTTTCTCGATTCTGACGCTATTTCCGTCAGAGAGCATCAACATTTTACCGAAACAATATTAAATAAAAATAATTAATCATTTCAAATTAATTGGCAATAATTTCATTTTGGGAGGTCATAAAACGAAGAGAAAAGTCATTTACTTAACACTGCAAGTTTATTTTTGTGTTAGTTATTATTGCATCACCCGCTTTGAAGTTTAAAGTGTTAGGAAAAATATATTTCCTTAAAATAATTCAAGAAATTATAAAGGTAATTACATATTTCGTTCATTTTCATCAATAGATTCACTAACATATGCCAGACTAGTTAAAAAGGTTTTTTCTCTGTTATGTTTTAAGTATTTATTTAAGTAAAAGAAACATCTCACATTTAAAATTTTCCTAAGCTGTTCAGTGTTTCGCATTTTGCAGATCACTAAAAATATACAGCATAAATGTAAGATACCAAATTACAACTAAAAAAAATTTATTAAGGCAGTGTAAATTGCATCCAATTAAATGTAATTGTTAGTTAAAAACACAGTAATTAAAAAAACTGGGGAAAATAGCAAAATAAATAAAATTACCAAATGTTGTATAGCTCTGCCGAATTATTTTAGTGCCGCTATTTGGCACAAAGTGGCAATACGATCTACACACAAGAATATCTGGAACATTCCTGAATATTCTAGAAAAGCATCGAAATTTTAACATTACAGAAATAACTTAGTTGAAATTAGAGTCAATAAATGATACAAGATGAATGTTAAATAATTTGACCACAAAACTTTTCCAAATTTAATCAAAGAATCATCGTAATTCGTAAGAAATAACATTTTACCCAGATCATTCCAACCGCTTCCTTCTTATAGTTTTACTATTCACCGCATTCGGCGCTGGCTGCTTCCGATGAAGTTCTTAACGAAATTAGTAATACCAATAAATAAAAAGCACATAATTCGTTCCATTTTTTGACGTTTTTTTTTGGACAGTAAATCTCTTTATCGGGGTGTATACATTACGTAAATATGTCGCTAATAGAGAAACCGTGATTATAGCGCGATTACAAAGGATATTCAGTTGAATACTGAATATTGGATTTCTTTTTATCAATGTCTATGTATCGATTAGATCTGCGAATAAAGAGATCTTTAATTGCAAAAATAGGAATTGGGTCACATTTTAATCTGCGAATAGTGAAAATGCGAGTGAAGGAAACGAGAATAATGAGCTTTTATTGTATCATAATGTAGATTGGAGAAAACATTGATTAAAATTACAATAGCAAACCAGAACGTAGTAATGTTTAGTTTAAGATGTGAGTTACTTGTTTTGTTCATCAAAAGTAAAATCATAATGTTCATTTAGATGTCAGAAATCATTAAAATAATTGTTCCTCGTCTTCTCCTCCTATACACCCTGTATAAAATTTGTGTTCTCGTTATCTACAGGTAGAGGAAACTATCTTTGCCTCGCGACATTCTCTCGCACAACCTACAGATCTTTAGTCTCATCTTTCAAATAATGCAAGATCCGCCTGATACGTTCTCATTATCACTACTAATTTTAACGCCAAGAGCAATAAAAGCATGGTTCAGCTAACTCGTCGACGATTTGTATGTGATGAGCTCTAAGCTTCTCGACACGGAGTAGATGCACTCGTAAAGTAATTGTCCTAGTACTATTAAACCCCTTTTGGAGGCACTCTGGCGGCTATTAGCAAACTCTTTCCCTCCAAGCTGTGTTTTTGAGTTAATCCACCCGTCCTTATGAAGCTGTTAAAGTCTCACCAGCAATAGTTATAGCCCATAGTTTTATGCCACACAAACTGAAACGATTAGCCAGAAAACCTTCACGAAAGTGGTGTAAATTTAATGCTAATCATCTTACTATTTCATCAACACGTTTAAAATATAATTAAACACAAACCATAATAAAAAATTGCAAAGAAGCGATGAATTCTGACAAATTTAGTTATTTCACTTACAATGAATCTTTTTTTATTTGTTGGCAGCACTGCTTTAGGGCTATTGATTAAAGTTGAAATTGCATGAGCGCATAGTGCGCAAACCTTTTCAGATTTCTCATCATAAATTTTTTTTAAAGACTATCGATATTTAAAGCGAACTGAGCCATGGAAATGCCGATTATTTCCTAGAATAATTAATTGAATCAGACTGAATTACGGAAATAAAAACATAACCTATATTTCAACTTTTCAACTTGTGTACATAAAAATATTGAAAAACCTAAATGTAAATTATATCTTTTTTCAAGTTGTTTAATTAGAACTAATTTTTAGAGGCTGATTATGGTAGGTAGAGAGAGCCGTAGAAGTTTACGCTCCATTCTACTAATAGTATGTAGGTACCTTTAGATAACTAAACAAATGTAAAATTCTTTGCCACTTCAAATGCAGATTTTTCTTATTTAGGACAATTTTATAATTATATCTACCTATGCTTATATAACATTTTAAACAATTATGGCAATACTTATTTCTAATCCAATTTTGTTGAAGCCGGCGTTTTAACCTAAGAAAAACACGTGTTTCAACAATTTGGAATTAAAAGAACTTATCATGTATCTAAGGTTAATGACCTTTTCATACAAAAACTCTCCGGTTACGGAAAATTAGATAACATTTTTACTAAAAAAAAGGTAACTGAGTTCAGACTAATGACCACTTCAAATTTTGCGTAAGCTGAACGAATAAATAGCATTAGAATCTGCTCGAATATGTTTATTTCACTATTTGAATGCCTGACAACAACAGCGAGGTATTTTATGCAAATGCCACTGTATCGTAGACAGCTATCCGTATTTTCATGTTCTAGATAGGTAAGAATATAATTACATCATAGGTACCTATTTCTTTAATATGACTCGTAATATCGACTTAATGGATCGAATTGTAAAACTAAATAAAATTTGATTAAAAGTAAGTTTGTTAAATTACCACAGGAAACATTTAAATGATTTTAATTTAAAGAAACCATAAAATAAAGTTTATGACTTTTGTAGAATAGGGTGGAATTAAGAAGTTGAAAAATATAAAATAATCCACAATAGGTTAGAAATGAGTTTGCAAAATTTATTTGCGCCTGAAATTTGTTTTGGGCAATATTCAAACCGGTGCTATTGCGTTTGTCTTTGTATCTTACCGGCACTTATTTTGAACATTTTATATTGTGTACTTAATAGATAAAAAGTTTTTAGTCTAAATGCTAAACAGACGTCCACATTCAATAGCTCCAGCCTAGGATTTTTTGTTGTGGGCACCAGAAACAAACATAATTTGTTAATGGGCTTTGGAAAACGTTTACCACCAGATTGGTTTTGAGTTGTACATAAATGAGCAGTGAAAAAATTTCAAGACAAGCAAAAATAAACTTAGACCCCAAAATATGTCTTTTATTAAGAAATTGCCTGCGCCCTGTACTGGCATCCCGAGGTGGTGGTACCTACAATGAGCGTCTTTTTTTTTTTTTTTTTTTTTTCCTACCTAAGCTGAGAGCCTTGAGAGGCTATGTCAGCGTAACCCTAAATGAGCGTCACTAACCCATAGACACTATCAAAACTAAGCATATGTAATTTTTTTTCAACTAAAATTGAAATCGGCGGCTATTAAAAATATTTCGATTATTAGAGTAATGATTAGACTCTACCCTATCACTCTCACAACTACGTCGCTGCTTACCTTAGAATACTCTTAAGACTTGTTTAAAGAAAACATATTCTGTAGGGGTTCACAATTATAGCCTATCATTGATAATTATTATTAATGTCATTCTGCATTTTAGTTTCTGTTTATACTTTTCTTTTTCAATAGAATAATAAACGAAATAATACATATAAATAAAACGTTAATTTTGTAAACGTTGCGTTCATACTTTGAAGTTCTTTAGTAAGTAGATTGTTTAATATTTTCATATTTTTAAGCTCATGCCCAAAAAAATTATAAAGCAAGTCGGTATCAAGGCCATAATTTAAAAATAATGTTCAAGTGTTCAGTAGGCTTTACTAGAACGTTCGGTCATGGCATCGCATCGGATCGTTCAATATCAAAAGTCGGCTAAAAATCTAGACAAATAATGTTAATTAGTGCCATCTAGTATTGACATGACGAAATTATTTTCCACATTTTATTGTTAACAATTTATTTTGAAACAAATAACTGTGAGTTTTCTATTCGTCAACAGATGGCGCGGTAGCAAACTTTCGCGAAGGTTCTTAAAGTTTCTCGACAATTCGAGGTTTCGAACTTTAAAAATATATAAGCGAAGCGAGAGCGCTGCAATCACACAGTCAGTATTCAAGAGATACGAGAGTCAGTTCTAAGCGAGTTCCAGAGTTTTTCCTGCAATTTTTCAACAAAACATAAGCGATGGCGTTGTTACCATACTTATTGGATGATTTGCGTCCTCATCGCATTCGGGACCAGCTCTTCGGTCTGGATTTGTCTCCGGACGATTTTCTAGCAGACATTATTGATCGACCAATTGTGCGCACGAAATATGTACGTCCGTGGCGAAACTTGGCAGCTGCCGCTCGCGACGTCGGTTCGACCATCAAGACTGACAGAGACAAACTCCAGATCAATCTGGATGTTCAACATTTCACGCCTGAGGAGATATCTGTGAAGACTGCGGACGGGTACATTGTGATCGAAGGACAACACGAAGAGAAACAAGATGAGCATGGTTACGTTACGCGCCATTTCAAGCGTCGTTATGCTCTGCCTGAAGGATGTAAGCCGGAGACAGTGGAATCTAGACTGTCTTCGGATGGGGTGTTGACGGTTATAGCTCCGAAATCCTCTCAGAGTAAGGACGAGAGAGCTGTTCCTATTACCCACACCGGTCCGGTTAGAAGAAAGCAGCATGACGACGACCAGATCAATGGCAACGCGGAAGAAGAAACTAAATCGCCTCAGAAGAAACGAAAACGGTAAACTTCACCATGGACACATTTTACCGACTGCGTATTAGTAATAAAAGACTGATTTACAAAATAAGCATAAACAATAGTAATAATTAAAATATAAGTTTGATGATTTAAATGAGTGTTTTATTTTTCATAGGGTGCCTGCCGCCCTATGTGTATGTGTATTATCATTATTTTTGTTCTGTTCTGTGAACTGAGTGAGCGAGAGAGATATAAAGAATGTATTAATTAAATAAGCAAGTGTTCCGTTGCGTTCCTTTTAGCGACGCTTGCGGCATGCCTAACGACACTAAATCTAGATACTTCGTAAGTTCTTTATATGTTTCAAGGTATATAGGTACTTTTTAAATGTCTTAACTGTGGTTAACATATTTTTCATTTTATTGTTCATCACTATCGCTATATTATTATATACGCTACATTTGCTACGTAGGTACTAAGGGAACGTACCTATACTACGTGACCTATTTTCTTAGTTTTTTCGACCTCTCCCTCCCCTCGGTGATCACTCGGAGTATATTCCAAGACTCCCCCTCTCCCCCTTTAGTTTTCACGTAGTAATTCATAATTATGATTTTTAATCATTTTACAGGCAAAAATAGAAAAAGAATTGGTTTATACTCGTCTTTATTGCATAAGACTGCATGCACACTTAAACTGACAGAGTTCTTCGACTTTTAACAAAGTAAGGCGCTCTAGCTCTTTTGGATTTTTTTTGTGCTCATCTCTTAACAGTACCCAAAATTCGTTTGTTTTCTGTTGGATTGCTTGCATTGCAAGGAATCCTTATAACATTTAATAAAAGCTTTGTACAGCCGATAGTACGAGATTTTTGTGCCAGCACGAACTCTTGTCGATCTGCTTTTGACAACTTCACTGAGCTACAAACTGTCTGACCAACAGTGTCTGTTTTCAATCAGCTGACGCTCGGCATATGTGCGTCAGCACCACCGATTGTGAGTTTACAAAGCGCTACACTGCGCGCTATATTCAAATATAGGTCGAAAAAATACGAGATTTCTCTCACTAAAATCGACTACGTGACAAAAACCTGAGCCACCCCCCCGCTCCTGTGACTGACCGTAGTATTTTAAAGACTCCGCTCCCCCCCTAAACGGGTCACGTAGTATGGGTACGTTCCCTAAGGTTGTTCATCCGGTACCTACACTATTAAAATGTTAGAAAGCATAGATTTTTTTACCTAAAAATTACCTATATTAATTATTATAACGACATACTTACATACCTAGCAATTAATGTTGTCGACATTAGCGTCGGTAGGTACTTAGTTACGAAAGTCGAAAATAATTAAGACAAATATACCATCTTATCAACTATTTTCAATTTAAACACCATTATAATTTATTTTGGCATTCCTCCAATTATTATGAAAAGGTACACAGTAAATACTAAATAGTTCTGAGTGTGAATATTCATTCAATTTTAGGAACGCAGCAATCATAACATTAACCCCTGACAACTTCAATGTACTGTTTCTTTGTTTATTTATAAACAATATGCATATCGACGCTTGAAAGGCAAACGTGACTAAGCGACAATAGGTAACTACTTTGTACATAAATGAAGGGCAAAAACCATATTCGATGTGCAAAAAAAATTTATTTCTAGGTCTATTAAAATCATTTCAATCCTACATCTAGATTCGTTAAAATAGATTTTTTTTCAGATTTATTTCTCATGTATATTTTAAATTAATTTCAACTTTAAATTAGTCTACTGTAAAGTTTACGCATTGTTGCTTAGTCACGTTTGCCTTTCAAGAGTCGATATTATGGTTCATTGTAAGATTTACAGCCTCCAAGCTTGTTTTCATAATAGGTGATTTATTTATTGGTCTTGTAAATTCTGTTGACTTTTGTCAACATTACAAATAATATGTTCCTATAGTATTTACATTAGAAGCTTTAAAGCTTCTAATGTTAAATATATTAAAATGAATTTCACCCGAACTTCGTAAGCGATGATGAACTATCCATAATATGAACTTACACCATAATATACTAACCCATTTAGTTTTGACCTTGTTCTGTAAGTATATTTATGATCTTTTTTCTTTTGACTTGGATAATAATGGTAGGCCATACCATCATTCATTCTTTCTCTCCTTGTTTTCATTTTGTTTACAGTACATACATCGATTTTATCGAGATGCTTAAATATTATAATGTATAATAATACATAAGAGCCTAAATAAATTTTCAAAGAACATAATTTCATATTTATAGAGGGACACTTTAATTATTTTACTAGTTACAGTTTTATATAGTCTAGTAGAAAACAAGCAGCAAGCAGAATGGTTTTTTGTTCAATTTCCATTTCAATTGGAAAACACAGCTGAATAGTGCTAGAATTTTTGAAAATATTAATTAAGCCAATTGATTTTTCCTGTAATTTTAATTCGTCTTTACACAAACCCTGTTTGTCGATTGTAAATATTAATTTTTGTGATTTATTCTGGACAAGCAGTTTTCTTTTCGCAAATTTTGACTGATGGACAGTTCCTAAAAAGTTATCGGGCGGAGCCCAAACAAATAATTTGTTTTGACAAAAGGAATATTGTTTTTTGACAGTGATCACTTGGTTACCGTCAAACATATTAAGTGTATAATCTATGGTTACCGTAGTAGTTGAATATTTTCAGTTTGAATTTTTCACACGCTGTTTCTTGTGTTGCTAAGAACACTTTCTCTCCATCTTTGTTAAGTATCGTGTATGAAATACCTTTAGTACCTATTAGGTCGTGCAACGAATCTTTTCTTTTGACAATGCATAATTCTTCTAAAATACATATAAAAGCTAATCCAGGGAATTCAGTATTTACATTAGGACAGGACATCCATTTGGTCGTTTTTGCGTCATGATTTTGCTTGTTTTTCATTTAATACAGAAATTAGTAACATTAAAAACCATTTTTTTATTTATTTAATTTGTTGTGACATAATAAATAAAATTTAAATTAGAGTAGTTTTCCATTTTTTCTACTGGAAAGGCGCAGGTATCATACCATAGAGCCTAATCTTTTGTATTTTTTGTTTTATGAAAAATAAAATGTAGCGAAATGAAAAGAAGTTGATTAATTTGATACATCAATCGATTGAGATTAAATTACATGAATCGAGATTATGTGGGATGAAATATAGTCTCACTAGCATGGTAGTTACAAATTTACTGACACTTTTTTAGTGAACTCTTTGAAAGATCCCGAGAAGTTAGATAGTAAGTTAAACCACCGATATTGCACATTTAAACCTGAAGAAACAATCAGTTTACAAAGTAAAAAAATTCAGTAAACCGAGCTATGCATGCACAATATGTATAGAGCTTCGCCCCTCGAGCTCCCGCCAAAAGTTCAAATTACATTAATTTTTTTAAGGAATTTTATGACGTGATAACTAAGACTTTTAGGTCAAGTCGTATTTTATTTTTACAAAATCAATGTGTATTGAGGTCGCAAAGGAGATCCCAGATTTTTTCATATTCTACCACTAGTTTCTATACCCTCAATTTACGGTTACTACAAATGAATGAGAGTAATGCCATCTAGTAGGCTATATTAGAAATATTTAAAGTCTGAAAACAAAAATGGCTCATAAAGTTAGTAGACTAAAATTGAAGTTTGTTGCAACTAGTTCATTCTGAATCTACTAGGTGGCGCTTATACAAAATAATTCACAACTGATTTAGAAAATTTCTATTCAATTATAATTATTCTGTAACACAATTATATATTTAACATCTATTACTAATATTTAGAGGAACATAGTTATTCCAAGAAAATGAAGTCACCTTTTTATGACTAATACTTTATTAAAAGAATGAGTCATTTCATTTTAAATTGGAATTCTCAAAAATTTTTGATCATTTCAATTATTGGAAACGTAAGGTGTCCAAGCACGGACACCGAGGAAGATTTCCTTACTGAAGGATACTCACAGGCTCAGACTACACAGTAGACACCATAACAGTAGGTATGATCTAGAACTAACTTTGTTTAAGCATTGTTCAATTTCAAGGTTCCGAATACATATCATATTTATTAATCTCTTGACGTTAAATTCAGATTTTTTTTTATATTCTCATTGCTCGCTGGGGGTAACATCGCCTCCTTTTTTAAATTTGTTTTATTGCTTAGATGGTTGAACGAGCTCACAGCCCACCTGGTGTTATGTGGTTACCGGAGCCCATAGGCATCTACAACGTAAATGCGTAACCCACCCTGGTTAATATGATATACATTTTAAGGTCTCAAGTTACAACGGCTGCCCCACCCTTCAAACTGAAACGCATTACTGCTTCACGGCAGAAATAGGCAGAGTGATGGTACATCCTTCAAAGCGTAATGCATAGTTGCTTTGTCACGATTACATTGAATTTCAGTCTCCTAAGTCAACTCGATACCAGTAACCTACAAAAATTTCTCAATTTTCGTATTATTAGATATATAGTAAGTCCTTAATTCTTCGAACCAGGTAGTGTATTATAAGACCTTTTGCTTTTTGCGCATAGGAGGACGAGCTCGAGGCTCACCTGGTGTTAAGTGGTTACCGGAGCCTATAGACATCAACAACGCTAAGTCTCAGTTTTATCGTACAACGGCTGGCCTATCTTTCAAAACGAAACGCATTACCGCTTCACGGCAGAAATAGGCAGGGTGGTGGTACCTACCCGTGCGGACTTACAAGACGCCCTACCACCAGTAATCTCTCGAGTGAAGCTTCAGAATCCTGCCCATTGTGCTTAGTGCGAGTTTTTTAACGTTCTCGATAGCGTAAAAGTTAACTCATTTGTATGGAGTTGGAACGTTTACCTACGTTTGCCGTTAGGGGCGCTGTTTCAACTTCATACATATTTGAGTTAACTTTTACGCTATCGAGAACTTTAAAAAACTCGCACTATGCACACAGGCCTCAGTTTTCCAGTGGGAGTACTGAGCGAATGCCCGGGACCTTGGACTGGATGAACTTGGGACTAGAAACAATTTTCATATTCGTTTTTCCTTTACCGCCATATGAGATTTTAGTCTGAGATTGCTTTTTTATCGTCTCAAAAACTATTAGGAGATTCGTTTTAAAAAAATCGA